GCCCGCAGCCCGCGCAGCCGCGGAGCCGCCCGCACGCCGCCTGCCGGCCTCGGTCTGCGCGTCCGCGCTTGGGCCCGAAGCCTCCCCTTTCTCCCTAGCATCTTGTCCGCCTCGCCCCGACTCTCCTTCTTAGCCGCTCTCTTCCTGCGTCCTTTCTCCCATATCTCCTACTTCCCTCCCCGAGTCTCCTACAGACGTAGATTTGGGTCTCCTAGACTCTTGCTACTCAGAATGTGGTCCTCGGACCAGCAGCATCGAGAGCCCCAGAGAGCTTGTTAGCATCACTAATCTCAGGCCCCAGTGCAGACACATAAATCAGGATCTGCATTTTACCAAGATCCCTGGGAGACCCAATGCACGTTCAGATTTAAGAAGTGCTGTCCTGGAGGGTGTACCTTGGACACACCTTGTTAGAATTGCTGCCTCCCGCACCTTGTCCCAGCACATTTTGGAAGCATTTACTATACCCATTATTTCTTGGGATCATCACAGAAGTTGAAATAGCAAGATCCCCACTATATAGATAGGTAAACTGAGGTGCTTAGAGCCAGAGGAAAAGTAGAACCCAGCTCTTAGGACTGGATTCACCTGCTTCCTCTCCAGACTTTTGGAGTGTGTAAGCAGCAGAGGCTGCCGGTGCCCTTGCATAACCTGCCCTCGTCAAAACCAGGCAGCTGGTTTCCTGTTTCCCCGCTGCAAGCACGCGCAGGCCTCTGCAGGCCTGCTCCATGTCTGATGGCCACCCTGAATCCTCAACTTTCTCAAATTCATTCCTGTCGCTTGCAATTCACTTTTGGTTGTTTACTCAGCTATCCATTTATTAGCAACAAATAGTCACTACATGCCAGGTCCGGGAGTTCTTTTCTAATGATCAAACTGCTAAGCTGTTTTCTGTTAGAAAACATGGACACAATTCCTTTCATGCTGGTATTGCAGAGTCAGCATTTTAGCCTGCTTTTTCTATTTCTTTTTATTTTATTTTATTGCATAAACAAAGGAAATAATTATAGAGGTGGAAAAGCACAGAGGTTCCAAATGCAGGGCCAGAAGTCAGATTGTGTGGGCTGGTGATCAGTAACTTCCATGATGGCAATGAAGATTAGGTAACATGATAGAGGGAAGGATCAATAGGGTTCAATGCTATAAATATTAATGAAGATTATGAGATACAAGTATTCAAAAGGAAACTAGTGATCTCAACCCTTTTTGGCCCAGGGGAGATGAGAAACGGGATAGTGCTGTCCATAGTGAGTAGCTGGGACCCACAGGGTGGTGTAGTGGTTAAGTTCTCACTCTGCTTGGGCCGAACGGCCCAGGTTCGCAGGTTGGGATCCTGGGTGCAGACCTACTCACTGCTCATCAAGCCATGCTTCTATGTAGCCATAGAAGAGCTACAACTCTACAACTATGATATACAACTATGTACTTGGGCTTTGGGGAGAAAAAAACAAGAAAAAGAGGAAGATTGGCAACAGATGTTAGTGCAGGGCCACTCTTTCTAAAAAAAAAAAAAATAGTGAGTAGGGTTGTGCAACCCAGAGGGCAGGTGTTTGCTATTGGGTACCAGCTGACCCTGATGGTGGCTTGTCCAGGTGGAGTTTAAACATGTTTATCCTGACAGATGAATCAAGTGTAATTCACGAACACCTTGGGCTTCACTAGGTCTCTCAATATACCAGCTGTTTCAAGAAATCAGATTTATTGCTTGAAAAAGTTAAGAGGAACTATAATTACCTAAGAAATCAAAACGAAGAGACTTCTTCTCAAAACACACGGCTTTGCAATGCATAAAATTCTAAAATACAAAAAAGCCAATTGACTGAAAATCTGTTAAAGTGTAATCCTTAAAAACAAAAAACAACAACAAAAAAACTTGTTCTTAAAAATTAAAATTCTTGGGGCCAGCCCTGTGGCACAGTGGTTGAGTTCAGCGTGCTCCACTTTGGCGGCCCAGGTTCGTGGGTTCAGTTCCCGGGCGTGGACGTACACTACTTGTCAGCCATGCTGTGGCAGCTATATAAAGGGGAGGAAGATTAGCACAGATGTTAGCTCAGGGCTAAGCTTCCTCAAGCAAAAAAAAGAGAAAGACTGGCAACAGATATTAGCTCAGGGTGAATCTTCCTCAGCCAAAAAAAAAAAAAATTAAAATTCTTTTCGTTCTTCTCCTCCTGTTCACCAGGGAAGGTACGGTCAGAGTTAAATGGACCATCGTTTAGCCAAAAAAAAAGGGAAGCGTCGGACTTCTGACTTCAGTTGATTCTCTGGTTTGGGAATCTAAGCTGTTACCTATTTATTTTTTATTTTCTTCATTGCAATTACTACAATTAACAATGGTGGTGCCAGATAGTAGGCAAAGGAAAACCAAGTCATTCCTCTCCAGATAAATTGGTCTGATAAAACCATATGGGGTCTTTTTTTTCTGCAGAGGATATGAGAGGAGTGTGGGGAGAGGGGGTTGGTGGAGGTGGGTTTGCAACCATAGCCTAAATGAGGTTTGCAGGTAATCTGTGGATTTCAATGATCTACCCATGATCAGGGATCTGGGGTCTGTGGACTCAAAGGAGGCCATAGGTGGGCTTCAGGAGTGGTGTGAAGACCTTATGAAAGTGTTGGAATAATGTGTTATAGGGATTTTTCTAGGGAGAACACCCATAGCTTTCATGGGTCACTCAAAGTCTGCATGCCGCCCCAGGGCCTTAGAACCTACTCTGGTTTCCAATTCCCTACCAACTTGGCTGCTTCCTTTCATGGAGTTCTCTGCCATCCATTCAAATTGCCTTTGGGGATTTTCTTATTCTTTATATTTTCTTACCAGATTTGAGCCCTGGAGGGACACCTGTTCCCACCCTCAGCACATATCCCCCTTTTTGTTGGGTTTTGCAGACACTCTCTGTTCCCCAGCAATATGAATCCACTGAGCAGCCAAGAAATACTGTGGTTTCCTCTTTTGTGTACACTTTCTGGGGAAGAACTTTCCCTGAACATTCTGAGACCACTGGCTGAACAAGAGCTGGCTATTCAAACAAGAACTTAGAGATGAATTTAATTTCATTTTTAAAAGAAAGATAGCACTTTTATTTTCTCTTCTCATCAAAGCCATTTCTCTAAACAACTTTTTTGTTATAAAAAACTCCCCCAAATCATTGCTGCCTCTCGATATTTGACCAGTAACAGATTTGCCCCTGATTCCAACTGCCTAGTATATGTGATTTTTTCACTTTTGATTGCTTAAGAAATAAAAGCTGTGATCTTGGCAGTTCCTCAAAAAGTTAAACATCGAGTTGCCATATGACCCAGCTATTCCAATCTCCCAAGAGAATTGAAAACATTTGCTCACACAGAAATTTGTACAGGAATGTTCATATTATTCATAATAGCCCAAAAGTGGAAGCAACTCAAATGTCTATCAACTGATGGATGCATAAACCAAATGTGGTCTATCCATACAATGGTGTGTTATATTCAGCCATAAAAAGGAATGAAGCACTGATCTACGCTACAATATGGATGAACCCTGAAAACATCATGTTTAGGTGAAAGAAGCCAGTCACAAAGGACCACGTATTGTATGATTCCATTTATACGAAAAGTCCAGAATAGGCAAATCCATAGACAAAAATTCAGAAACAGAAAGTAAATTAGTGGTTGCTAGGGGATAGTGGGAGAGGAGACTTGGTAGTGACTGTAGATATGGAGTTTCTTTTTGGAATGATGGAAACGTTCTAGAATTAGATAGTGGTGATGTTTGTACAACATTGTGAATATACTGAAAACCACTTAATTGTACACTTTAAAATGGTCAGAAAGGTGAATTTTATTTCAATTTTTTAAAAAGGTATGATCTTTGAGATGGTGAAAGAAAGATAAAGACAATATCAGAATATTCCTGTGCTATTTGAAGAATATAAAATTTTGGGTGCCTTCAAGTGGGATCTTCTGAATGCTCTAGGACCCAGTTTTTAAACTCTTCAAACATAAGGATCTCCTATGCAGTCTACAATCCACAAACCCTGTGGATTGCGGGATTTCCAAGCCCCTTGCAGTAACCTCCCATGCCCACCAGGAGTCTGTGGCCCGCACTTTGGAGTACTTGTTCTGGAATGACTACATCAGTAAGCTGATTCCCTGGATATGGGTGTGTGTTGTGTGACTGCATGGTGCTGTTGTTTTGGTTTTAAGTATATATTAAAAAGGTGAAGCGATTGTACCAATTCATTTTAGTCCCTATGAATCCACCCAACACTGTGTCATCTCCTCAGGTCACGATGCCAAGCACCCATCATACATTTAGGTAGGCAAATAACCAGGACAACTGCTGAAACAATGGAATCCTCTTGATTTTACTGGTTAGAGTTGAGCTGCCAAAGGTACTGGGTTTTCATATACAGTAACAGCCAATTTGTTTGTGATCAGACTTCCAGTGACATCAACCTTCTGAAACATCTGTGAACCCAGGGGGTCGTGGGGAAGAAGCAGAAGGCTCAGAGCCGCCTGAAAATAGCCACCAAAAAGCTCATGCATTCCTCCTCAGAAGCAAAACTAACCTGATGTGTACGCAACACTGGGTTTCCTGGCTTCCCCATGAAAACCTCAGTTTTGCCCTGGAGGTTTCCATCGGAGAGCAGGAGGTGAAAAGCAGAAGACTCAGAAAGC